CCCTTGGTTGTTCTACTCAGAAATTGCTCCTTTTTATCTATCTTATATCCCTTCATGTTTAGTGTATCACTTAACCCAGATTGCTTTTGAATTATGGGTACCTGCAACCATTTCCTCTGCTACATGGCCAGCCCATTAAAGGCCCATATTGCATCTACTTTATCTTTGCCTTCTTGACATTGTCTGGCACTCAATGTTTGTTGAATGCCTGAATAAATCTCTGAATAAATGATATGTCCTTGTGCAGTGTGAGGGTCTGACAAAAGAGAGGCCTCTGTAGACTAAATTGGTGGGGGCGGGGCAGATTCTGTAAACAGTATTGGATGTTTGTCTCATTTGATAGCTAATATTTCCTCCCCAGCCCTTGGCAGCCACCAGCAGGCACCCTAGCAGCAAGGTGAATTGTCTGGCTGGTTTTTGAAAGGTCCTTCCCTTCTCAACCATTTCCTGTCTTCATACCCAGGTATCATTTGAGTCTACCACAAGCTTAGGTTAAAAAGGAAACCTCAGTTCTCCATTTCCATCTTGTGTTCTGTGAGAAGTCCAGTCCCAACCCCCACCATTGAAAGTTTCTGTTAATTTCTGGAGATATCTTCTGTTGCTGGCAATGGGCTTGAAATTCAAATGCCCACAAATGACCTCTCCTTGTGGTTGTGCTCTACTCTTTGGTCAAGGCCACAACACTCCAAATATGAAAATCTGCTACTTTTCTAGGATTCCTTGAAACAAACAACACTTTAGAAAGATAAGTGTCTGTAGCAGCTGTGCTCACGTTTGTGAGGATGGGAGACTGTGAAGGTGTCATACTTCTGCTCATTCCCCCCAAAGAATGCCTCCAATGACCTGATTCTCCACCTCCAAGATCTTGCAAACAGTGCCAGCCCTCTCAAGCTCTCTTCACTTTATTATACAGAACTCCTTAGTTTCTAATTCCTTAGAACTTTAGGTCTGGGAGGGAGATAGTCCCAAAATGAAACCCCACTTTCCCCAGTTACTCCTGTATAAAGGGACCAGAGAAGGGTGGAAGAGGGACAAGTGAAACCAGCTCTCTGAATTATTGTTTCTTCATTTATGAGGTAATAGGCAGCATGAGGCCTGATGCACAGGAAAGGATGACAACATGTCAGTGGCTGCCTTAGTTACTAAGCTCGGTGTGCACCACTGTGCATGGGAACAGGCAGCAGCATGTCTCCCTGACAGTAAAATCTTCCATTTGCTCCCCCGCAACTGAACAAGCTAACAAACCATTCCACTGTCCCCTTCCCTTCTTCCACCCTTGTCTACAGAGAGAAGTGAGCAACTGACCAGCATCTCTGCTGATGTGATTGTAACTGCCTTACAAGGCATTGCAGATGCAGTGGGTGAGATTTTAGTACCTTTTTTTTTAATCCCTTCTCACAGTTCCCTAAGCTTTCTCCCCCACTCCACTCAAGTGACTTCAGCAAACACCAAAGAACCAAACTGGGAGGTGCTGCTGATGGTGCAGAGAATGACACTGTCCAAAATAAACCCAATCTGTGCTTTGTGACTGAATGACAGCTGGGCTCCCAGTGCAAATTGACACTTCTCTCCTTCCTCCTGGCAAACCATGAGAAACCTAGTCTGAAGGGGGCCCTGCAAAGAGCGCTAGACTTCATGACTCAGGCATAGGGATTCAGGGATGGGATTAAAGAAACAAGTGAAATGCTTCTGTTCTTATCAGAAAATAGTTTGGAGGGATATAGTCAAGTAGAAATCCTTTAGTTGCTACTGTGTATTTTTTTTTGATCTTGTTATGCCAGCATGACTTTGTGTGTTTTGGTTATAATGCATTGTCTTCGTAATTAAAGGTAAGTTGGTGGCGATGGTGGGGGTATGACTATACTGGGGACATCCATTCTCCATCAGCCTGGTGTCTGTGCACTTTTCAGGGCCTGTCTAGCTAGTACGCTCCATACTTGTTCCTTTCTCTCACCCACCAGCAAGCACTTTCCACTTCACTGGGGCCTGTGCCTATTAGACCCACTGAGCTTACTGTTGTCACATTGACCTTCCATCCATGCATTGTCTTAAAATGCAGGTATGATAAGGCCAACAGACCAAGAGATGACTGCCATTGAAATGTTAGTTTATTCCTCATGATTCCAAACTTGAAGAAACGCACCACACCATGAGGGCCACGCAGGATGCACCAGCGTTGGTCAGGAGGCAGAGGGAGAGGTGCTCTTGTGAACAAAGACCTTTATTGTGCTTTCCCTGGGAGGGAACAAGTGAGGCAGCATAGGCATGCTCAGGATTGGCTAGATTAGGTCATTTCACAGTTCTGGGGCACAGGGACTAATCTTAGTCATTTAGAACCTAGAACTGGCCATTAGGGCAGGAGGATTGTGGCCTGCTATGTCAGAACTCCAGAAAGGAGGTGTTAGTGTACAGGCTCTGGTTGGGTGCTTTGAATATGACAGGTGCCTTCAGGCACATGCTCTAGGAATTGGGTGGCCTTGGGTGGGCAGTTCATCTTGGGTCAGCAAGGTCGCAGATGTGAAAGTATCAGCATACAGAAATGAAGACACATGGCAGTGTCACTCTGCTCCTGGAGACTCATTGACTTGCATTGACCGTGAAACTGGCATTCAAGTCTCTCCACCTTCTGGCCACAGTTGTAGAGTCCCGTCTTGCCCACCATTGTGAACCCCATGATTCAGGAAAGTTGCCCTCCTCAGGGTTTCCCATCAGTGCTGCCATAAGTGCAACCCTTCCTCCCAGCGGTTTTCCATGCCCCTTACCTGCTATCGAGCTATCTGAGGCCTGTGTTTAGTGCCACCTGCTCTGTGTAAATTTTTAATTGCTTGTGGGTGAACATTGCCATGCCATACAGACAATTCCACTTGGAGAGCTCTACCCATGGACGTACCTGAGAAATAACCCCACCTTTTCCCATTTACTCACATTTGCTTCTCCTTCAAGGTACGGATAAAATCTCTCTAAAGACCCTCTAGCCCATTTGTTTCTCCTTCTGATTTTTATAGCTTTAAAACTGTTTTTATATGTATGTGTGTGTGTGTGTGTGTATCCATATATATATATATATATATATATATATATACACATAGAGAGAGAGAGAGAAAGAGAGACAGAGACACAAGAGAGAAATATATGTATATATAGTCAAATATACTGATGTAGTTATATTGTGTGTGTGTGTGTGTGTGCATATGTATGTATGCATTTACAGTGCTGGGGATCAAATCCAGAGCTTTGCGTATGCTAGACAAGCATTCTATCTGAGCTACATCCCAGCCCAAGATTTGTATTTTTAATTGAAAAAAAATAAGCAGACTCAGAAAACATGATCTCACTTAGCTATGGAATTTAAACCAGTTGAACTCATAGAAGCAGAGGACAAAAAGGTGGTGGCCATGGGCTCAGGGTTTGGAGAAATGGGTTGCTGTCAGGCCAAGGTTTCAGTGATGTGGGAGAAGTTCTAGAGATCTGATTTGGATCAAGGTTCCTACAGAGAGTGATACTGTACTGTGCACCTGGAACTGACTGAGAGAGCAGACCTTAGGATCCCCACCACACACAGAAGGTAAGTACATGGATGTGTTAGTTAGCTTGACGTGGTAATTATTTCACAGTGTATTCATATGTGAAAACAGCCATTGTACTCTTCAAGATATATCATTTTTATTTGTCAATTTTACTTCAATAAAGATGAAACATTTAAAAAATTAATAAACCCCAAATTTTATATTTTTCATATGTATGGATTTTTTGGCCTCCTCATGCTGGGCACAGATGAAGATGAGGTTGACATCTGCTCTTTGTCGTTTTTTTAATTTGTGGTACTGGGAACTCAGAGCCTACACCTTGATCCACTTCACCAGCCTTTTTTTTTGTAATAGTTTTTTTCGAGTTTGAGTCTCATGAACTATTTTCCCATGAGCTTTCTGATCTCTGCCTCCTGAGTAGTTAGGATCACAGGTGTGAGACACTCACTCTCAGCTGTCATTTTTTAAGCTCACTTCAAGAGAAGTATGCATTAGCAACACTGAAAACTACCCTGTGAAGGAATGGAAAGCATATTGACAGGTTGTTTTAAGACCAGAGTGTTGGATGTATTCTTGAAGGAAGGAAGGAAGGAATGGAGGGAGAGAGGGAGAGAGGAAGGAAAGGAGCGGGGAGGGAAAAGGAGAAAGGAGGGAGAAGGAGAAGGAATGGAGGGAGGGAGGAAGGAATGGAGGGAGGAAGGAATGGAGGGAGGAAGGAATGGAGGGAGGGAGGAAGGAATGGAGGGAGGGAGGGGGGAGGGAAGAAGGAAGGTGGGTATTTGCTTATTTTACTGGACAGATTGAGACAGTACCATGCCAAGCTGGGACATGCCAATGTCCCACTTCCTATGTCCTGTTGTGGCTTTAGGCCCCCTGTGTTCCACAGATTAGTCTGTCATCATCTCCAAGTGATGTAGAAATGACCATGGTGTGCAGAAAGAAAAAGAAAATGTAATAGGTAGGGCACAGAGACCTCCCATGGTCATTTAGTCTCCAGTGGGTGTTTCTTGAAGGCCTGTATTTGTAGCCCTCACAGAGGACAGATGAGAGGAAAGTGGCTCCAATTACAAAGGGAACGTTTGTAGATAGAGCTCATCTGTCTGCATGGTTAAGGTACCTGTGAGCCTGGTGAGAGGCAGTGCACCTAGAGGACTGATCGAGTTCCCTGCCGGCAGCCTCATTTTATGACTTTTTTTTTTGCTTTATTTCTATGTAGTTGTACAACTCATCTAGTTTCCTTCTAAGTAAAGCAAAGCACTTATTTGCATGACACACATCTACTCATATATGGCGCCCATTAAACCAGTACCTGCATTCACAAGAGTGCAGCCACCACAGTCCTCTCCACCTGAGACGACGTCCGTTTCTCCTGTCACGCACTGTAGAACCAAGATTTCAACCAGAATTGGGCCAGTCATGGAGGCTGAGCACAAACTAACTTTCTTTCTTTTTCTTTTTCTCCCCCCCCAGGATTATACCTTAACTATGTATTTTCAACAATATTGGAGAGATAAAAGGCTTGCTTATTCTGGGATCCCCCTCAACCTCACGCTTGACAATCGAGTGGCTGACCAGCTGTGGGTGCCCGACACATATTTCTTAAATGACAAAAAGTCATTTGTGCACGGAGTGACAGTGAAAAACCGCATGATCCGCCTACACCCTGATGGGACGGTGCTGTACGGACTCAGGTCTGTCTGCCTCTATGGGGCCAGTTTTGCAGTTGCATGGTGCATTGGCTTGAATTTCTCACTTGAGACGATTAGAGTTAAGTGAGGCCATGAACTCAGATTAATTAGGAAACATTCATGAAACACTCTGAGTTTTGCAGAAAAAAATTGTCATCACCCTAAGAGTTGGGGCATTACTGTTACTATTAATAGTCTTCAAGCAGTTGCAAAGCAGCCTCCTTGGATGGATGGTATTTAATTGGGTTGCCATATCTAAGAACACAGATTCCCTTAGGATGGATTTCCCACATCATGGCCACAAAAGCCTATAATTAATATTGCCCTGACACTGCAAAGGCTTTAATAAACTTTTTCCAAAGCTATTTGTACAGTTGAAAAACATGTCTGCTGTGCAGATTATAAGATACAGTCTCCACAGAGTTTTATTGAGGTAACACAAATATTTATGGGGATGACTGAATAAGAGGCTTCCTGATAAGAAACACATCTCTCTTTTAGTCTTAAAATACAATCACTTGACTCAGAATATCAGGCTGCCTTCCTGAGCCCAGAAGGGAGGCTCTGGGCTTCCCTGGTTGCCCTGGAAACCACCAGACCTTCCCATGGTGTTCCATCACTTCTAGTGGTTAATTATTTTGAATATAACTCTGCTAAATGATGCTCTTAAAAACCGTCTGACTCTTGCATTGATTTTTGTACCGATTTTTTTTGTTTAAGAGTGGTATTTTGTGCATGTGAGAGGAAGTGTAAGTGTGCCCTTTTCATCTCCTGGCCTCAAGGTGCCCCTGAGACCACTTAGGAGTGGCCCATGATTTTGAATGGGACAGTGGATACACTGGAGAAAAGACTTACCTTGTGAGTTTAGAGCCTTTTAAGAAGACACCAACAGCTAAAAGTGAGATCAAAATAGTATTGAAATCCATGCACACCATCATGGCTTTTAGTGCCTCACGATGAGTGAAGGGAATTATTTAACATTGCCTTAATCACAAAATGCTGTATGACTTTCTAAAGACTAATACTTTTTATAATACTGTTATTAGAGTGAGTGCGTGTGCATATGTGTGAGTTTGTATGTGTGCATGTACATGCGAGAGCAACCAGCAGCAACTGTCAACTAAAAATTAATCTTTAACATTTTGTTTTTTAAACAAAACATGCTATTTGGATTCTTTCCATTTTTATTTTTTGCATTTCATTACCAGAGTAGAGTATGTATGACAGAATGTCTTCATTAAAAGCAAAGAGCTAGGAGAGCCATACAGGGGGTGAATTCAAGTATGATACATTTGATACATTGAAAGAACTTTTGCAAATGCCACAATGTGCCCCCACCCAGCACAATAAAATAAATAAATAAAATAAAAGCAAAGAGCTTTTTCTCTTTGGGGATAGAGTTATATAATACATAGGAAAGTGCTGTAATTAATTTCAGAATTCTATTTGAAAGTATTGTATTTAGCATCACAAAAGATAAGAGTAAAAAAAATAAAAAGAGACAAGACATTTAAATTATATATATATAACTAACAGTTGGCCTGTAAATTTATATGTGAAAGTTATGACATAATAGGTCATGGGAAACTTTTAGTAACAACCTTTGTGCAGTGGCCTGAAAAATAGCCTTTATGCTTGAGTTTACATTTAGTAAATGGATTTCTATATATGTAGCTCTTTTTACTCAAAAGTAGTCTCCATACTGCTGCTCCTTACATGTTTTAAATCTAGAGCCTTTTTTTGTAGCAGTTCTTCAGATTCATATGGACTTGTTCAAACTACCATAAAGAAAATCTCCAAACTAGGCTGACCACCATATTCCACATGTCATCTGACTTAGAAATTGAGTAATCTAGAAATTTTGCTTTGATGTAAAAAAATCTATTGTTATAGAAATTAACTTGAACTTTTGGACAAAAACCACATTAATAATTCAAAATTCCAATGATTTTTGAAATTCATATTTCATACATTCATTCTGTGACATTTTGTGTTATCTTAAGTTGCGTGTGTATGTATATATGTACATATATATTTGCTAAATCATCTATCTGTATAAAATATATGTTCCATACATAAAATGATTAAAATAGATGCACCCTTGGCCCCAAATCCTATCTCTGTTTTTATTGTTGTATTTGGTGAATCGTGTTGGTCTCCCATCTAAGTACTAACCAGGCCCAGCCCTACTTGATTCTGAGACCAGATGAGATTGGGTGCATTCAGGGTCTGAACTGTGTTGGTGACTGTTGTCAGTCCAGGGATGTAACCCCAACTCTGCACTGTATCTTTTGCATACATAAGTATTGAAGCTCCTCCTCTACTGTTAAACCCATCAAAAGTTTAAACCAATGTGAAATGGAAAAGGGGTGGAATCCACCTAACCTCTGGGATCTCAGTGCTGTGCAACCAAGCACACTGTGGTGTTGCTGTGCCCCTCCTGATCACAAGTGGTCTGGGATCTGTGGCTCCCTGCTGATGCTCAGCATTGCAAGAGAGGATCATACCACATATTGCTAGCCCAGGAGAAGACCAAGTTCAAAATTGAAGTATGGTTTTTACTGAATGCTTACTACTTTTGCACCATTGTGAAGTCAGAAAGCTATAGGTCATACTCAATAAGTCAGGTCCTGGAGGAGGTCAGATACTACAGAGAACACCACAGTCAAATTTCCCAGGAGGCTCAACTTGCTGCCACTGTCCTCCATGTGAGACAAGGCAGAGGACGGTCCAGCCCAGGAGAGACTACTTTCTTTCTGGCTATGTGCTTGATTGGACTGGTGGTATTTCCAAGAATTTGCAGTTGAATTTATCTTACCACTGGACACTGAGCTTGTCCCTCACCCTGTCTCTCCAGTGTACAGACTGCTAGGCCAATCTTCATTTAGCATCTTCAGGTTTCTTGGCCCAGCTGTGGCTGTACCATGATCAATGAGGGTTTTGCCTTATCTAGGGGAGATGAAAATCACTGGCTGTGGGTGAGCCATCTGTGATGTAGATTGTGCGTCACCTCAGCCTTATTCCTAGCCATTGATCTTTAACTCTGATGCTATGCAAGTCGTCCAGCACTGCTCATGTAGATGCTTGAGTGTCATCACGTTCTCAGAGCAAGTAAAGGTCATTGCCAATCGTGAACCACTTTTCCTGATTCTTACAATCCCATGAGCTTGATGTTTGGGCTGGCACTAGTGTGTGCTTACCAGCTCGAGTCCTCCATGTGATGCCTCTGGATGTGGCAGACACACCGTCCTGAAACAAAATGTGTGTTCTTCGAAGTTTTCCTTTTGGCAGCGAAACCTTTGAAGATTTAGGAAAATCTCAGCTGTATACAGGGATCATGACTTTTGTCAGGTACCCATCATAGCTATTCTGAAGGTTTCTGCTGTCTGTAAGAAGGTTGAATCATTGTCCCTCTCCTGTCTTCTCCACTATTTTCCTCAGTCTCACTTTGCACCATTAAGCATGCTTTGTAATGTGGCCTTTTCTTCATACCATGCATTTTATATCTTTGGACCATTTCTCTGATGTTAAGGGTTGGTAGCGAGGTCACAAATAAAATTCGGTTTACTCCAAAAGCACCTGCAGTTGTATGATCTTCCTCAGTACAAGGTAATACATATTTTTCCAGATAAGCTTATTGTAAAATCTGTTGGACAATACATTATAATGCTTGCTGTTAAAATTGCTTAAAATTCTTTAAGTTGCCATTCCTAAACTTAAACAATTGAATGCAGTATTAAATTGAAGCTACCATGTATTTTTAGAAGATTCAGATTATTTCATTTAACTGGTTTAGCTAGCACTTTATTCTGAAGCTGTATTTTATACATTGGTTTGGTTGGACTATCTTTTGTCCTAGAACAGATGTAAGCTAACAGAGGTGTCAGGGCCCACATGACTTGACTGCAGGCAGGCCTAACTCCTAAACACTTGCTTTTGTCACTACCTTCTAAATTCTATTGTGTTACTAAGAATTGCACTGATAAATTGCTTTCCAGAGGGGATTATCCCAATTTATGCTCTCACCAGCAATGGTGCCTTCATAGCTTCAGGACTTTGACAATTGCTTTGGGACTTATGATTATTTAGGGTATTGTAAGTAATTGATTCATTGTCTTCATCTCATCTCCATCTCATTTTATATTCAGGCTTGTACATTTCTGTACCCACCCTCCCCCAAGCACCTTCATTCTTCCCTCCTTTATAAGAGTTTTTCATACTTTTTCTTCAAACTTACCCTCTTGCTTCCATCTGATGATGGAAACACATAATTTTTTTCATCTTCCCATTACAAAAAATTCCATTTGACATGTGTCTCAAAATGAAGAAAGGCCCCTGACCAGTTCAAGAGTCAGCTTCCTGCCATGGCATCCTCTCTCTGCTTGAGAATTTGCTCTTGGATTCTAAGCCTTCCCTTTATACCACAATTCTCCTCCTTTATCACACTTTCACACTTCCAGTATGCAAACCTACCTTCTGCTCTTCAGAAGCATCAAGAATGTCCTTATCATAGGACCTTTGCTCTTTACTTGATGTATCTGTTTCTAGATATTTATGTTTCTAGCATTATTATAATGCAATTGCATAAATGAGGACAATTCAACTTTCACCTTCATCAGCAGAGCCCTTCTCTGATCATCTGTTCACTCTATTACATCACTTTGTTTGGTGTTTATTAAAGCACTTATCCAGATCTGACATTAAGTGTCAATTTATTACATTTCTTATTGGGTCACTGTCCTCCTCTGTAACTATAGGGGAGCCACCATAAGAATATAAAGTTTCTGATAGAGGAACAGGTTCTGTCTTATTTATTGTTCTGTCCCCCAAATCTACAGTAATGCTTGGTCAAAAGAAAAAGTGTTGGCATGAGAGTTAAGTTTGAATTCCAATTATTCCTTCTTTAGTACTAGCATTTTCTTATTTTCCATTTAGATTTTTCTTCCTATTGGAATTTATCATGTTGCAGGATATGAGGTAGCTATCATTTTCTTCTCAAAGGA